CTTTGACGCTTCAGAGAAACTATATCGGCGACTCCAGGCGATGCATAGTTGGATCGGCAGGGCGGCGGTTTTTCTTTTTCTTTTTTTTTTTTTTTGCCTCCGCTGGTAGTTCCGTTGGCAGTTACGCAGGCAATTCTGCTTGCGCTTTCTTGCGCTTTCTTGCGCGGTCCTTTTTGCAACCCCTATTGGCGCTTCTTTGTGGTCCCTTTCGCTGCCCTCTTCGCCGCGGCTTCGGCCCTTCTTATCACCCACTTGACACTCGCTACATTTTGCATCCCCGTCGGCGACAAACATCAGAAGGAACATTCAGCGTAGGCTGCGTGACGAAGACCACGCAAAGATCGCGAAAGAATGGCGTAACAGCGGGAAGAGTTATTTTTTTTTGCGAAAGATGGGCAAAAAATGATTTAAAAGGAACGTACACAAAGGTTACATATCACTGGCCTAGTTTCGTTTCGTTCTGTTTCGTTTTGTTTCTTTTTTTCTTTTCTTTTTTTCTCCGCGACAAACGCACAAGGGGCGAAGAAATGAGGATCATAGCGGCCAACACATTCCCTTGGGGAAAAGAAAAGTCCCGCGGTTCGGTCAGCATTCCCTCCACCCATCTATATACCGTTACAGGAGCACAAAGCCACTATGAATAAAAGCAATAAGGACGCTTCGACCAAATGGATTTCTTTTTAATTCCTCTCTTTTCCATGTAGAGTTTTAAGTTAAAATTGTGAACATGGTGTTTATTCTGCGCGCTATGTGTGTACTTTTTTTTTCCCTTCACATTTCGCGCCTTCCCCCTTGAAAAGGGAGATTAAAGCAGAGAGAAGCAGATTCGATGCAACGAACTCTCTGTAGCGTGAGTGCAAGTATGCACTTTTTCCTTGTGTCACTTTCACCGCCTCACGTTCCTTCGTTTCCATTTGTTTGGCTTCCTTGAATGATAAACGTCACTTCGGCAGCGATCACCCGGGGGGCGGACAATGTGGGTGCCAAATTCTGTTCGCAGATGACATATATGTGTGTGCGCTCGTCACGTGTTTGGCACTTCCAGGGGGAGAGGAGTTACTGCTCCCTCGTTCGGTCTGTTAAAAGGTTGCTCCCACAGGGGGTACACATGTGTGTAAGTAAATAAAAGTGTACATCAGCCCAGTCCATGTGTGCACATCGTGGTGAATACTTTAAAAAGGGGCGAAGGGGGGTCGTCGTCAACAAGCACAATAACAGGGAGAGTTAATCGAATCAGCAATGCGTCAGGCCGATCATCAGTACCCCCGCGTAGGGAAGTGTATACCGACAAGCGTATACCGACAGGTGTATATGGACGTGTCGGTACTAACGTGTGAGAAGGCCCCTCCTATTGATTCAGCTGCTCCACCGACTCCATGGCTAGCCGCATGGCCTCGTTTAACGTCTCCGAATCGACACTCTGATATTCATACGAGGAATCCTTGCAGATCCAAGAAAAGTTGACCAAATGAGGTAAGTTATTTTTATTCATATGGTCGTCATTCGTTAAGATCATTTTGTATATGTCGACGAGGGCTTCCTTAACGTCCACTTCTTTGTAGTTTCTCTTTTCGATTTCCGTCTTAAACATCTCCTTGTTTTTCCCGATGACTACTCCACTGTATTTGTAGCAAGCTCCGTTGGGTTCCACGCAATAGATTTCTCCTACGAGGGGGAGGAAGTATAGAGATGGATGTGTGCACGGGCTCCGTCTGCATGTGCTCCGTCTTCATGTGCTCCTCGTCCTAGTAGCCACTTCGCCAGGCGATGTGCCAAACGTAGTGATAACCAATGACACGTCTCCTACTCCGCCGCACCGCGTGTACCTTTCTCCTTCTCGTCGAATGACGCCAGTATGATGGAAGATGCAAAGGGCCTCAAGTGCCAATACAACGTGAACGAGTGAATATAAAGCGAAACACGGTTCGCCAAAATGTGCAGAGGAATGTTGGTGTGAAAATTGAGATAGTAACTATTCGCTTCATACTTGGCCCGATCAATTATATTTCTGGCGTCTCCATCCAGTCCTGCATATGTCACAATAACGTTGTTGTTGATGTGATAAATCCTGTTGTAGCTATTCTGTTTTATCATTTTGTTTTTCAGCAAATTTGAATTCACACAACAGGTGAGGAGCCCATCTCGGCACTCCAGACTCAGGGCCGTGTTGTTATTGTTGATGGCCTTATATATATACTCCACTTGGTAGAGCCTCCCGTCGGGGGAGAAGGTCGAGACGGATAGGTCGTAGCCTGCGCTGAGGCCTGCCATCGCTTCGGGCTGCTCAGTTGGACGGGAGGCTTCTCAAACGGGTGCCCTCTCAAGTAGTGCTCTTTCGACTAGTTCTCTTTCAATGAGGCGCTTATTCAACCCAGGGAGATGACCACTTCACTTGAATCTCTCCGATTCGATCACGAACGGGGACCAGGGTCCGATCTGGGCGGAGGGGCTCTTAATATGTTCTGTGAAATGAAAAGAAGAGGCGCAGGCATCAGAGCGGGAGGGGAGAAATGAACGAGGAGCCAAAGTGCCTAACGCGCGGGCTGATAATTCTGAACTGGCTTGTTTCTGACTGTTTCTAAGTGGCAGACGAAAATACGAGCGTGGGGGACCTGTTGTATTCTCCCTCCTTCCACTTCTGTTACCTTTTGCCTTCCAACTTTCGAAGGAAGAAACTCCAGGGTGACTTCTTCTGCGTGTGCGGGATTGGCGATCTCTCACGACGGCTCGCTTTTTCGCGAATTGCTCAGTGGGGGAAGAAAGAAGGAATTAA